GAATTAATAATAAATATTCGCGCGAGTATTACGCGATCGCGACTCAAAACAAACTCATTCGCACTACCCTGAAAACATCTAAGGAGAGCAAAAATAGTTCTAAAATTTACGCAGATATAAAAAAACAATGGATATCACACTAGAAAAAATACTGATTTTGTATAGGTGCAAGAAAATCATGTCTCATGTAATGTGAATTTAGACGATTTTGGTTTGCTTTGCGTCCGTTTTAATCATTGTACCATCTATGATACTCTGAATTTAAGTTCGTTCGGCTTGCTACCGCCTCCTCCGAGGGTAAACAAATTTGAGTCAGTGTTGTTTTCTTTTTTTTTTTATTATTATTAATCATTTCCGAAATATTTATTTCATCACAAAGAGGGCTAGTTAAAGAATCAAACATTCTGATGATACTGTGATGTTAAAAACGGTTGAGCATTTAATAATTATCGTGTTTAACATAGAAAAATAAAAGGAAAATAAAAGGTTCGTAATAAGTCATCACAAATTAATTTTCAAATTCTCTGTGGTGAGAAAACCCGGAAGCCCAATGTTTGGAAGGAAAGTTTGGGCGATGTATTGTATGTCGTCATCACCAGAGCACGTTGTGGAGGCAGGAAAAATTGCTCTTATCTTATTGGCTAACATGTGATTTGGAGGCGTGGCTTCACCCGGACGCGACTGCCGAACCTTGAACTTTAACATTATTTATGCCGCGAGTTCACGAAACATGGAGTCCGAAAGTTGGTAGAAATTTTAACGGACTTTCAACAGAAAAGAACATTGAAATGAGTGCATAATATTGTCTTATATTTACAAATTAACTTCAGCTCAGCTAACCGTTCGCAGGCTAACCGTTAGCAGCCGGGTGAGAACATAGCCAACAAGCTTTATGGAGACAGCATTTGATTGACAGATCAAGTATTCTAAATAATCTGTCAATCTGTTCAATCAAAATTATTCTTGATATCTAAAACAGTTTGAACATCAGCCCTCTTACCCTCATTCTCCCCTTGGTGCCAACAATATCAGCCTCATTTGGAAGGGTGCAAGTACCTGTACAGGTGAGAACAGCTATGCCATTATCAGGAAATAATAGTGTTGTTGAACTAGTCTCATCCACTCCTAAAAAATATAATTAAAACATCAACATTCCAACTATGTTAATGCATTTTATATCAAATCAGAAGTTTGAACATTTCTGACCAGCTCTGACAAAACCAGATGCAATGTTTAATTTTGCACAAGCACCTAAAACATTTGAGAATCAGAATTTTTAAACATTTTCAGGGTTTTACATTTTATGAAAAGAGAGAAATAGTAAAAAATGCAACTGCAAAATACCACTCATTAAATTTAACTGAAAAATAAAAAAATAAAATTATTTATAAAAAACAAATCCTGATAATAAACTAGTGTACTGATTTTGGAATCTTTAGAAGCTGCTTTCTCAAAACCTGCACAGCTGAAATCCAATGATTTAAATATTCATAACTTTGCTCAACCAATTTCCATCAAATAAACAGTTTTAAAAAAGAATTCATGTAAAATACATAAATACCAAGAACTCAATGTTGAATTTTTCCTACAAATGGCTAGTTTTGCCAGAGAGGGTCACATTTATTTTCAGGATTGTGAAAATTATACAGTAGGTTTAGAAATCCAAAATAGATAAAATTGTGAAATATTAATTAATTGATCTTCTTTAAACTGGGTAACATTAACAAGTACAGTGGAAATTTACTGTTTGCCAACAGAGCCCTGTTCAGCCTTTGCTTTATAAACTAGGTCTAATAATGAGGCGTAAGGAAGTAAGCTGTCTCTTATACACATCTTCTTCTGTATGCAAAGCATGCTTTAACGAATAACAACCAAGACATAGCAATAATCCGTTCTTTTTCTCGAGAAATCGGTATTA